ACACGTATTTGACTACAACAGCGTAATGCATCCGAGTAAATACCCCATTTTTGCAGTTGGGCGTTTCCCAAAAGTTGTAAAACCGTCCAAGCAATGCATTTCGTCTCGTTAAAATACCATTTTGCAATAGGGGGTAACGAAATGGCCCCAGCGAAAGAAACACCACTCAGTACGTTCCCAGAGACATTTTCTTAGACTCATTAGAGGGAGATTAAAGTGACGAAATTCTATGTTGGCGATTCGTCCTGCGGTTGGAGGTATATTCTCCCTATATCTTTATTATAGATGTTACCGGGATAAGTCTGCGTTTTACGCGGTCGTGATGTAATTCCCAAGAGGAAGGCGATAATTCAGTAGTCGTGGACACTAGTAAACTATTTCTTGACTTTTCGACGTGTTCTCAAAGGGGAACAGGAGGTTTTAACTGGCGGCAACATTTATTAACCTAATGCGTTATTCTTATTTACTTGGTGAGCAATAGTTGTTGATTTTTCATTGAATCTCTTGCAAGATCTCATTTCGTAGCCGCACCTGTTATGGATTAAGGTTAGGGGTTGGGGTTAGGGTTAGGCTTAGGGATTATGGGTTAAGGTTAGAGGTTGGGGGTTAAGCTTAGAGATTAGGCTGAGACATGTCTACTGTAAGTACGGTTACGAAACGAGGTCCGACGGAATGGTCACATCCAAGAATAAACTTCAAAACTACTTGCGTTTCAATCGTCAAAGTTTAATTCTCTTAGGTTAAGAGGATCCCATACTAACATCACAAGTACTAAACAAAAGCCCATATACACGGTTTCGCTGACATTCTGCCGATAAATGACACAGCTGTGAGGGGTTCGGCCCGTTAGTGCGTGCTCTAGCATTCCGTGTCTGCTTTCTAGTAGTTACTCAAAATCAGAAATTGTGGCTTTTTAATTTCCGTAAAAAGTGCTATCATAATAACGACTTGGAAAGGACTCGGTTGTTAGATAGAAAGGCGGGGCTTAAGTTCTACCACCTATTCTCGCACGCTATAAGCGCGTAAGCGCTAAGAATTCGAGTCAATGGAGAGGCAACCCGTGTGTTATCATTATAGCTCAGCGTTTTGAGGGTAGGATCGACCGTTTTAGGCTGCAAATAAACGTTCCTGACGCTTATGGAGAACGAAAAAATTAAGAGTACTGTTTAAAATGGAATCCCAAATCTGAGGAAGCGTTCCATTGTGTCTTTTAGGAATAATTCCGCCAATTTTTATTTACGTTTTACTTAAGGCCATAGTTTCATTCAGGTGTGTACATGTACAAGGCGGGTGCGGGGTGGCGCGTATGTGGGCAGCCTGCACTTTTATGTACGCGCTGCTCTTCTTCTTCAGTCACTGCGTCCACGTCCATTTCCGGTGTTCTTGACTTTGTTTTTACTATGCGCCGAAGACGGCTGAAGCAATTTTGCTGCCAGATTTGTAGAAAAAGCCAATAAAAGCCACGAGGTTTCCGTTATTCATCTGCAAGTTTCATTTTGAATGGCTATTGTGACCTCGGAGCAGATGCGTTACCTAAAGGTTAATATCATCACACCAGCTAATTAAATGTGGGATTCTAAATTTCAGTGGCTGTACATAATTATGAAATTTTGAGAGTTTCGCAATGAGATCCCTTCACAAAACGTCCGTCCATGCTGTGTCTCTCAGAGTTTTATGGCAGTAAAAAAGGTCGTTTTTAAAGAATACACAGTTTGGTTTATAAATTAAAAAATACTAACACAGAGATGACTACCTTTTCCAAGAACTAACCTTGTGGCTTAAATGTTTTAATATGAATTGGAATCCAGTCCGGTTATACTAGAACGTTTGCCTATACATTGAGAGTATCGAGTGAAAACACCGGGGAATGCGAATCTTCTAGATATTCAGAGGGTTGCATGTGTATTCCAGGGTGCTATCATGATGTCCTCGTATACTACATGATTTGAAAGAGTGCGCTTGTCCAACAAAAAAGTGCAACGTATGACCGATCTAATGAAATGCTGGCCAAAATTCTGGAATGCGTTTCCGATTAGGAAGGACTACTTAAATGGGGTTGTTATATTAATTATTATGCAGCAGGACCCTATAACATTTCGGACTTGCCAGGATGTCGGCTTTGGAATGCATTTCTTTTTGGCCTCCTGCAGAAATCGCACTCGGTAAACTATGAGTACTTATGTGACATTCATTTTTCCTACTGATTTTCAATGGTCTTATAAATTCAAATCTATTTTATATAAAAATATGGTTACTTTTGCTCATTTGGTAGGAAATCACATTGTTTTCATATGTTATGCCCGAAGAAAGTGTATAGTTTGGTTCTCAAAAAGTTTCTAATTATGGGATTGTTAAGACCGTGTGATGTCCATGCATGCAAGACCGCGCATTTCCGTTTACTAACGCTCCTCATGAAATGTGCAACGCAGTCCGGATCCATTGCAGAATTTCCTGAAATCTATGTGGTATCTTCTTAAAGGCATGGAGAAATATATGATTTTCCTTACGTGAAATGCATGCGCCTTGTATACTGTGACTGCTAAACGCGGATGCAATGTCAGATTAGGATGGAAATTATTCGGGAATTTGGAAAGTTTTTTAAAACCAAAATATACACACTCTTCGGGCACAGCAAATGAAGACAATGTGATTTCCTACCAAATGAGCAAAAGGAAACATATTTTTGTGCATAATTTCCATAAAATACATTTGAGTTTATAAGACCATCGAAAATCAATAGGAGAAATGCATGCCACTTAAGTAGTCATTGTTTACCGAGTGTGGTTTCTGCAGGAGACCAAAAAGAAGTGCATTCCAAAGCCGACATCCTGACGAGTCAGAAATATTATAGGGCTATGCTGCATGATAGTCAGTATAAGAACCACACTTAAGTAATCGTTCCTAATCGGAAACTCATTCGAGAATTTTGGCCAACATTTCATGAGATCGGTCACGCACTGTAAGACCCATTGTCTACAATGTGTTACAATGCGCTACAGGTGTGCATATAGGCCAATAAATGTAGAGGATCATGTGTGTCGACAGCTTGCTATCATCGGTACATGCCCAGAAGTGTTATAAAAATTATGTGCTATACCTAATATTGCGGCGGTGAATTCTCAGAATCTCCAAGACGATGAGACGACTATTTCCCAGTCTATGATGTTCAGGCTTTTTTATATCCACAAATGGCACAACTCAATCCTTATTGGTTGTGTTATTCAGTAAGCACAAGGAAGTCTTTTTGATATATCATGACGGGCACAATGATTTCTCTTGGGGAAACCTAGTAACATACAGTTTTCTAAACATGCGGAGTATAAAAAGCTCACTATTATTTCAATTCTTTTGGTAATAGTGGTCTGTCTAAAGGCCAAGGTACTTGAGACCTTCAAATGTCAATAAGAGGGAGGGGGCGCTAATCCATGCCCAGAGGCGTAATAAATGTTTCCTCTGTGCATCCTCGTAGAGTATTTGGTACAAATTATGTGACCTAAAAACGCTGCTGACGAAATTCGCATTATCAAAGTACGGCCACTTTCCTGAGTGGGACTGCGCACTCGTGGCGCCACGAGTAATTGAAAAGAGGTTAGTCGAACCTGCAGTAGACATGTTTCGGCCTAATCCCTTATCCTAACCCCAATCCCCACATATTAATCCCTAACCCCCGGCCTCCACCTCTAACCCCAAACCCTAACCCTCACCCCTCGTCGATAGTCGCCACGACCGCCATGCCTGTACCGCATATTCCAGGTTCGGCCGCACAAATGTCCCGCATAATCTGCCAAATGCATCTTTATTCAAGTGTATAAACGTTCTGCGTATCGCGCTCATAACGGAAATTGCCCATGCAGCGACTTTAGAACACTGCGTGGTGGCGTTTAGATCGTCTTTAATGAATACACCGAGATCTTTTTGTACATCTACGGTTATGAGTGGTTGACTGTCCAGGAGATACTGTCGTGGGGGTGCATTTGTTCGTCGCCTCGCCGATACTGCATTACTGCACATTTTTGACGTTGAATTTCATGCACCATTTCTCGCTCCATGCGTGCAAATTCTCTACGTCCTCCTGTAGTATCATGACGTCATCTTCATCTTTTATCACTCTCCAAAGTTTTTAGATCGTCTGCACAGAGCGCTATTTCCGATTTCACTTCCCCTACTAGGTCATTTACATAGATAATGAATAGGAGCGGCCCAAGAACTGACCCCTGTGGGACTCCACTCGTAACATGTGACCATTCTGAGTAGTAGCCGCAAGCAGTGACTTTTTGTCGCCGTCCGTCTAGGAAATCTTAAACCCAGTTCAGAAGGTGTCCTCTTATCCCTACTTCTGACAACTCTTGAATAAGGCGCTCATGTGGGACGCAATCGAACGCCTTGCTGAAGTCAAAGTAAATGAAATCAACTGGATGTCCTTCATCCATGGCCTTTGACCAGCGTTCGAGTGACGAAAGCAGGTTTGTGAGTCACGACCGCTTTTCGCAGAAGCCACGTTGAAATGAGGCGATGTGACAGCGAAAAGTATCGAGTGATGTAATAGATTTTTAACTAATTTTTCCATCAGTTTTCAGCAAATGCATGTCAAACTAACCGCCCGCTAGTTCGTGGGACATAGCCGTGATCCTCCCTTGTGGATAGGTACGACGTTTGCCAACTTCCATGTGCCAGGTAGTTTGCCAGCTTCCAGCGACTTTTGGAAGATTATAGAAAGTGGCTCTGCTAATTCTTCGGCTAGCTGACGCAAGAGTACACCTGGGATATCATCTGGTCCAGGTGACTTGGCTGGATCCAGCTTATTTAGTTCTGCTAAACCTAACTGCGGAGTAAAAAAATACTGTGCTTATAAGTGGTTGGTTGGCGGGCAGTGGAAGAGAACAGGACTGGAGGGGTGGTTCCCTGGTGTAGACAATTTGGAAAAACTCGCAAAGAAACTCGGCTTTTTTAAAGATTAGGTTACTATGTTGATAACCCAACATTCTGATTGTTTTCGTTGTACGAATTGCAGTATGAAGTTTTTGCCAGAAATTAAAACCCTACCTTAGGTTAAGGTGCGCGAAGAAGTTTTTCTCGATTCACACGACCGAGCGCCTGTCGAAATTACTATTTACGATGCAAATGGATTTTACTGAGCTGGGTTTACGCAGCACTGACCCAGATATTTTTCTGCAGAACCAGATCGTTATAACGACAGGATGGGAGAGTCTTGTCCTGACATTCACACGGAAGGTTAATCAAGTAGTCGTCGAAAATAGTTTCAAAAGATACCCTAACAGGTGACTTTTAAAAGCCCGGACACAACTGTCTCGGGTTTTTAGTGGATGTATAATGCTATTATGATAGGTCCAGTTATTCATATAGTCCCTCAACGTTCAGATATTTTTTGATTTCCAAATGGCAGGGCAAAATCTTTTCAGAGACTCGTAACCGGATTTGGGTAATAGTGGTGTTGCACGTGGTGTGTTAATTGCTTGATGGCCGACATTCGCGTCGTTAGTTGCTGCAATTTCCTCACGTGCGTTGGATGTTGGTGTGATAATAGCTTGACCATCTGACGCATCGATCCTGGTGTTGGGAGAGCAGGAACCCAAAACGTCAGGCTAATAAAACCCTTGTTCCGGCGATCGTGTCTTCTTCTTCAAGACTTCTTCCTGGGACTCGTCTCTTCGCTTCTATTGGCAATGTATTTGGGTGGGAAGCGCTCCGATCGGCCCGGCGATGGGAAATCTGCGCCATTCGGGAGGCCTCAACGTATTCGCAGATCCGGTTTCTTTACAGATGTCTCGACAATAACGTGTTACCGAAATGTGTTTCATACAAGCCACCGGTTAACATGGATTTGGCGAGACGAGCAGTATTTCAGCATGACAGAAGGATGATCCGTGTGCTCCTCCAAGATTGTCATGCGAGATTTCGCAAGTACCGTCAAAGGATTGACCAAGAAAAGACCAGATGCTGTGGGTTCATGGACGAGATTGATACATATCTGCTCCTGTAGAGGGGTGACTGAACACGCCCGCGAACAGAGAATGCTACGCGACGCAGCACTGGAGAACAAATTCCGAAAGCTGCCCAATCCAACGTCGCCCAGAAACGACAAACTGGTGCACAACCTGTCTTCAAAGGAGCTGACGAAGGATCAGATGCCTTTTTTTACATCACGAAGCTTCATTTAACACGGCTGACGCCAAACCTTTTAACATGATTGCAGCAGCGGAATCAATCCTTTGTCAAACAGAGGCAACGGAGGAGACTAAGAACCTCATCCGACACCAAGTGTCGTCTCTCCTAATGGCCCACAGGCCGCGGGAAGTGCTTTCCAAGGTCGAACGTGATGCGCTTAGAGAACTCAAGGCCGACAAAGACCTGGTCATCGTGCCAGCGGACAAAGGACACGCCAAAGTTGTACTGGACAGGACAGACTACCTTCAAAAAGCCAAAGGTTTACTGGAGGACCAACAGTTCTATGTCTCATGTGCAAAGAATCCTTTAAAAACGCTGACACGCGAAATTAACGCTACGTTGTTGGCCTTGGAGAAGTCAGGTGCAATAACACCGACCGACAGACGCATGGCGAGACCCCAAGATACGGCTTCGGCCCAAAGGGACTCCAACGTACGGACTGGCTAAGTGGCTGTTCCGGCGTCTCAATTTCCTGACCGCTGAGTCAGACACCACGGTCTCTTCGTCAGCACAATTCCTGGAGAAACTCAAAGGGGTAAGCATCCATCCAAATGAGGTCATGGTATCTTTTGATGTTACATCCTTTTTTACTTCTGTTCCCCAGGACCTGGCGACTGAAACAATCGAGCTGCTTCTACAAAGCAAATACGATGAAACGGAGAATCGTCTTGGACACGTCCAAATCCTTCAGCTCCTGAAGCTCTGTCTCAGTACGTACTTCACGTTCAACGGGACAATCTACGAGCGGGTGAAGGGCACACCAATGGGTTCGCCGATTTCGGGATTCATCGCCGAGGCGGTCCTGCAACGGTTAGAGTTGCTGTTCTTCCAACGCCACAAACAGAAGTTCTGGGCCCGGTATGTGGATGATTCATTCGTCTTGATCGAAAGGGATCAGTTGCTGACATTCCAAGAACATCTCCACGCTGTCCTCCCGGACATTCAATTCACGATGGAGGAGGAAGACCACCCAATCAGCCACAAACGCATTTGTGTAAGGATGCTCTATCGACGTGTCGAAACGCACTGCAGTGAGCCGCAAGACAAGATTGCTGAACTGCAATACCTCCGACGGGTCTTCAAAGCCAATGGCTACCCGCGCAATTTCGTCAACGGGTGAGTACGCAAAAGGGACGAAAGGCCTAACCGCACGGACACCAAATCTTGGCGGGCACTTCCGTATGTCAAGAACGTTTCGGAAGCTGTCAGCCGCCTTCTCGCACCACTTGGGGTTGGAGTGGCACACAGACCAGTGGCAACTATCAGGCGTTAGGTAACGAAACCGAAAGACCCAGCACCACGGCAAGAAACGACGGGAGTCCCTTATCGGATCTGGTGCAGTTGCAGACAAAGCAACTACGTCGGAGAAATCGGAAGACAGCTCCGAACGCGAATTGCCGAACACGCTGTAACGGTACGGAGAAATGACGCCAGCTCTCAAGTTGCGGCTCATTCGACGAGACCCGCCCACACATTCAAATTCGACGAGGCCGAAATTCTCGCAAGAGGTGACAACTGCGTGAGCCGGGAGCTACTTGAATCATGGTTCACTGGCCTCCAGTCCATTAACAAGTGCAATGAACTTCCCCTTCCATATTGGGTACTGAGACTTCGCCTGGACGGAGTAATAAGACACGCTGGGAGCGCACAAGTGAGCACTTTTTCCAACGCCAGGGTCAGTGGATCAGATGGTCGAGCAATCATCACACCAGCATCCAACGCACGTGAGGAAATTGCAGCAATTAACGACGCGAATGTCGGCCATCAAGCAATTAAAACACCAGGTGCAACGATCCCGGATGAAGCGGGAGCAGTGAATGTTCACAGGAATGTGGTAGCATGGTGACTGCATCCTATAAATACTGCAGCCTCTGGTGCATGAATCACCCGTATCTGCTGTCATCTCTGATGATGGGTTCGATCAGGAACCCGAAACGTCAGGCTCATAAAGCTCTTATCCCAGCGATCGTGTCTCCTTCTTCAACTTTAGGTTACTCTGTTGATCACCCAACATTATGATGTTTTTCGTTGAACGAATTGCAGTATGAAGTTTTTCCCAGAATTTAAAAACCTACCTTAGGTTAAGGTGCGCGAAGAAGTCTTTTCTCGATTCACACGACCGAGCGCCTGTCGAAATTACTAATGGCCGTAACCTCGAGAAGACAGAGCTTATTTACGATGCAAATGGATTTTACTGAGCTGGGTTTACGCAGCACTGACCCAGATATTTTTCTGCAGAACCAGCTCGTTTTAATGACAGGATGGGAGAGTCTTGTCCTGACATTCACACGGAAGGTTAATCAAGTAGTCGTCGAAAATAGTTTCAAAAGATACCCTAACAGGTGTATCTCTGAGGGTGGGTTCGAACAGGAACCGGAAACGTCGTTCTCATAAAGCTCTTATCCCAGCGATTGTGTCTCCTTCTTCTTCACGTCTCTCGTATGTCATAAACAGGCAGATGGGTTTGCAGACCATGAACGGGCTTCGTGAATTAGGCTTGCTGAAACCTGATTTCTAATCTTGAAGTTGGCAACATTTACATTACGGTTTTATGACGGCGCGACAGATAAAAGTGCGTTAGTGAAGACAGCTTATGAAAAATTCACCGAATTTTCCTGTTTAGTATACTATACTAGTATAATGCTGAGATAGGTCTAAGGGATGCAAAATCGGACGAAGTTGAACAAACATCCTCTGTCTCGTCTCACCTGTGTAACCTCCGTTTTCTCATGACATGTCTTTTAAAACATTCTGCTTCCTATACTAAGAACTCACAGAGCTCTGCTATAAGGACTAGGTTGCAAATGACCTAGATTCCTCAGTAAGTGTGGTAACATTACCTTGATAAGCCTCTCTGAATCAGAATACAACAATAGCAAGAATAATCATGGAGCCCTCGGTTAGATCGGCATCGCCATAAAAATGTTTGCTTAAGTCTGCTACTAACACTCCGAAAGACAGAATAGACCATGATATAAAACCATTCCAGCGATATCTCAAATCCCTCTTAAAATGAAATGAGAACATCGCCGTCCTAAAGAACTTCAGGCTGTGCCAAATAAAAGAACTCGGAGGAAGCGTCGATTTAACCGTGACCACAATGCGGAGTGAGGATAAAGCGCAGCTTCTGCCAAGCACGAAACCAGCATTCCAAATCGTCTCCCAAACAGTTTTTCAGCAAGATGTATCGCCCCCAGAACGGAGAATTGGAAAGAACTCAAGGCCGAACCCCTCTGGAGATCCGGCCTGGACGATGTCAATCCCAAAATACTTACGAAGAAGTTATTCATGTACGGAGGTTATTTCTCTGGAGAAAGCCCACAACCCTCACAACTTAGGCGCGATGAACATCATTTCGCCTCAGTCTGCACCAGCAGGGTTTTGCATCAAATCCGACGGAATTGGTAGACGCTTATGTCGCAGAGCTACTCAGGTCAAGGCGACTTCTGCCCAGAATATCATCATCATTTCGGACACAGACCAGCTCATGCAGTCGGTTTTAGAAAGACGTCCGGGTGTTGTTGCCTTAACAGAAACATTGCTCCAAGCCGAAATAATGGATGTCAAGATTTCGATGGAAGGATGTCAATCCTCTGGCCGAGACTGTCGGAATAGACTGGGTGGTTGGATAGTCGTAAACGTGATGTCAGAACTTTTGACAGATGAACGCACACACCCTCTTCACCTTGTATATGAATCCATTCGCATAAACATAAGTCAGTTTATGAAGGGAATGAGGATTTCGCCCTTGAGCTCCCTATTCATATCGATAGACAGAAATAAAGTCATCATTTACATCAGCAAATGCGAAAAGTTAAGAAGTTAGCGGTAAGTGTGAGCTAGGCGCAAACTGCCGCCGCTAAAACAATCATTATTGTATGTACAGTAGGTTCTCAACAAATGAGCGTCTAGTCTGCGCTTAAAGGATTCGACACTATCGGAAAGAACGCCGGCATCAGGGAGTCCATTCCATGCCCCGATGACCCTGTGAGAGAAGGCGTTCCGTCGGACGTTCGAATGAGCCCGCTTCCTTTGCAGTTTGAACGGATGACCACGCAGACGGTCAGTCCGGGCCAATTCAAAGAGTAAGTCACAAAACCCGGGATTCTTGATTGTTTACAGATAACCAAACCAGCCGAATGCCGCAGACGAGTTAGTCCTGGAAGTGACTGGACAGTAAGATATTCTTATTGCTGGGGTTTTTAACGTAGCCGCAATAGGTTGGGAAATGTTGGTCAATGACAGCGCGTTTAGCTGAAAGCTGATGGACCTCACATTCGACCTTCCCCTTGCACAGAATGTAAAGTTCTCGCGAGGTTTGGATAGATCCAAAGGCCAGTTGTCTGGGTCTGGTGCTCACGAAAATTTTCTCTAGCATTGATGAAGCGTATTTCAATGCACCTCTCGAGAAGAGTGGCCACACCACTCTCTCGTGGGATTAACCATTAAATTTTCAGAACCAGCAGATGGTGAAAGGCCAGCGAAGTGTAAGGAAAAGAAAATTCAGAATTATGGAGAATAGGTTTGCGTCCGAGAACTGGAACTTTTTGCCCAAGAGTGATCCACAGGAAAACTGCAGATTATTTAAAAAGACCCCACTGAATATGATTCAGGGCCTTTGTCCGCTTAATTTATCAAAACGACCAATATTTCTGCCTGGTTAACTCCATTCTAGCATAGAGTTAAGGAATAAAAGTAGAAAATGGAAGAAATTCAGGAAAACTGGCTCACATTGACATTTCAAAAAATTTCGTCGTCAGCGAATTGCTGTTAAAATTCTGATCTGCCTGGTACAAGAGGAATATGAATACATTATAATTTAATCACTCGAAGATAGGCCGGAGTTTTTATTCTATTATGCCAAAAGTCGGCTTAACAGCAAAGACCCAATCGGAGTACTTACGGGTGATAATGATGTAGAATTCGTTGAAAATTTTGAGGAAGCTGAAAGCTTGGGCCATTCCTTTGTTTCTGTATTCACCAGGGAGATAAACTTTCGGTTTCACAAACGCCAGACTACTGTTGCAAACGCCGAGCGAGTGATTGAATCTATTTTCTTCCCAGCAACTATCGTAAGAAATTTTCAGTCTTAAAAAAATTTCAGTCATGGGGTCTGGAATATGTCCCAGTCAAGTTCACGGGGAACTTGGAAAACGATTTATTCAAGCCACTGATACATAACTTTTACTCGTTATTTTAATTAGGAAGACTGCCATCCCAATGGAATGTAGCAAGTATCTAGGCGATACACAAGGATAGGGCTCGAATCATCGTGAATAATTATCGTCCCGCTCGTCCAACATCTCACATGTTGATAGAGGGGCGATAACTGATCGTTCTCTCGGAACTCACTTGTACCGTTTTGCCTTGCGGGTTCTCTCTCGAGCCCAACCAGTAGTCAAACAGCGGCGCACGACATAGGCAGCATGGTAACGGAAGAAGGTAACACGATCGCCGGGACAAGAGCTTTATTAGCCTGACGTTTCGGATTCCTACTCGAATCCATCATCAAAGACAAAAGAGCAGAAACGCGTGGTTGTTGCACAAGGGGCTGCTGTATTTATAGGATGCCGTAGCCATGCTACCGCATACCTATGAACGTTCACGGCTCCCCCCCCCCACTTCATCCGGGATTGTCGCACTTGGTGTGATCATTGCTTGATGGCCGACATTCGAGTCGATAATTGCTGCAATTTCATCACGTGCGTTGGATGTTGGCGTGATGATTGCTCGACCATCTGACGCATCGACCCCGGTGTTGGGAAGAGTGTTCACCTCTGCGCTCCCCGCATGGCCTGTTACCCCGCCTAGGCGAAGTTTCAGTACGGAGTATGGAATGGGAAGATCGTTGCACTTGTTGATGGACTGGGGGCCAGTAAACCATGATTCCAGTAGCTCTCGGCTCACTCGGTTGTCACCTCTTGCGAGAATTTCGGCCTCATCGAATTTAAATGTGTGACCAGATCTCGTCGAATGAGCTGCAACTTGAGAGCTGGTGTCATTTCTGCGCACTGCTGCCGCGTGTTCGGCCATTCTCGTTCGGATCTGTCTTCCGGTTTCTCCGACGTAGTTGCTTTGTCCGCAACTGCACGAGATCCGATAAACGACTCCAAACGTTTCTAGCCGTGGCAGTGGGTCTTTCGGTTTCATGTTTAGACGCCTGATGGTTGCCTCCGGTCTGTGTGCCACTCCAACCCCAAGTGGTGCGAGAAGGCGGCTGACAGCTTCCGAAACGTTCTTGACATACGGAAGTGCCCGCCAAGACTTCGTGTCCGTGCGGTTAGGCCTTTCGTCCCTTTTGCGTATGCACCCGTCGACGAAGTTGCGCGGGTAGCCATTGGCTTTGAAGACCCGTCGGAGGTATTGTAGTTCAGCAATTTACTTTCCGGCTCACTGCAGTGCGTTTCGACATGCCGATAGAGCGTCCTTACACAACTGCGTTTGTGGCTGATTGGGTGGTTACTGTTGAAGTTCAGTACTTGCATCGTATTTGTTGCGTTCCTGAACACTTTGGTCTTTAGTCCACCACAATCCTTGCGGCATACGAGGACATCCAGGAAGGCCAGCTGGTTGTTCTCTTCCTCCTCCATCGTAAATTGAATGTCCGGGAAGACGGCTATGGCATGACCTCATTCATACCTTGCAGCTTGTTGGGGGTCGCGAGTATGTTCTATGACTTCTTCTAAGTTGCTGGCACGTACCATCTGCGTAATAACACGTTTTAACTGTAGAGGAAATGGTTCTCTTACGACTGCCCAATGAAGTAGTTGGAACCTGGAACTGACTTCTTGCTTTGGCGGTACTTTCAGACACTGTTGAGACGTCTAAATACGGACTTGGCACTCATGTCCTGAGAACCTACTTGAGATGATTTAGTAGACTGGGTAAATCACGAGCTGTAAGTCGAAAGTCTGAAGTGTGTTTTTGACTCAAAAAAATTACATAAATAGGACTGCGATATTAGCCATCATGTAGCATAAGCCCATAATAACTCAGCCACTTCAGGATGTCGGCTTTTGAACGAAATTCTTTGCAGCTGCCATTAAAAAGTAAATTCCGTAAAAATGACTGTTTAATTACTATGGATTTTTCTCATTGATTTTCGATGATGTTATGGATTTAGATATATTTCATAAAACCTATGCATAAACAAATTTGCTCTCTGATTCACTTGGTAGAAAATTACGTCTTTTTTAAATTCTTTTTATTTTAAAGAACCGTATAATTCAGTTTTTAAACTGCTTCTATTTATAAGGTTTTTTCAAACCGTGAAATGCTCGTACATAAAGCATCGTGCTTCCGCAATTATTAATGCTGCTTGCGAAGTTTACAATATGCTTGAAACCTACTGCTGAATTTTATAAACCCCACATAGTTTCCCCCTAGATAGTGCAGAAATATATAATTTTCCCTCAACGCAAAACATGCAGTTTGTAGTTAGTATGCCCTAAATGTGAGTGTTAAGGCAGGTCGGGCTCAAAATTATTTGGGAATCGGAAAAGTTTTTAAAAACTGAAATATACGCTTACTTAAAACTTACAGTTGGAGGATGATGTAGTCTCCTGCCAAAAGAGTAAAAGAGTAAATATTTTTATGCACAATTTCTAGAAAATATGTTTCAATTTAAAACGGCACTGAAAATAGATAATGAGAGTTTAGACCATTTGGGTAGTCATTTTTTACAGAATGTAGTCTTTGTATGCGGCTAAGAGGAAGTTCGTTCAAATAACGGCATCCTGTCGTAATTGAATTATTATGCGATTGCGCTGTGAGTGATTAGTATTACAACACTACTAAGCAATCTTTTCGAGTTGAAAACGCAATTCTGAATTACGATTAACATTTTATGAATTAACATACCCACTGTATACTTTTGTCAGTAATAGCACTATGTGCTCGGCTCACATGTGTTGGGGAATTTGCAGAATCTAAAATTACTGCTATAAAAATTAACGTTATTGCCCCTTGAGAAAGCTCAAAAGCCAGTGACGTATTAACAAAGCGAAGTAGCTTAAAGTGACTGCCTTTTCACAGTCTACTCCTTTCTCTACCTATTGATAATCCATCTGTGGTCGTTACATATACTGATCCTACTAAAGCCTCTGGTAAAGTGCCACACAGACACTCTTACTAAAACTTGGGGTTTTAGGAATTACAATCCCCCTTATTGAATTACAGTGAGCGACCGATCTCATGAAATATTGGCTGAAAATTTCATAATGCGATTTCGATAAGGAAGGATTACTTAGGTACGGCTGTACTACTAATTACCTTGCGGCATACTCCTATAATATTTATCATTCGGCAGGATGAGAGCTTTGGAATACGATGCTTTTCAAACGACACTGGAAACCGTACTTGGTGAAAAAGACTACTTAGGTACCATGCATTTTACCCACTGATTTTGGATGGTCCTGAAAATGCAAATATATTTTTTAGAAACCAAAAATTATGCCTTCTTTCATTCGTGTGATAGAGAATCACGTCATCTTTATATTTTATACGCGAAGAAGGAGTATAATTTGGTTTTAAAGAAGTTTTTGATTATGTAATTTTTTAAGACAGCTCACTGTCCACTCATATATCATCGCACCTGTCCGTTTACCACTTCTTCTAATGAAATAACTTAATTGACTCCATATGCATCTTTTAGACTGAAATCAATTAGCGATAATGCAAGGACTGATCAGGTTCCACATTATTCGGCAATCAGAAAACTTTCTCAAATCCGAATTATACTCCTTCTTCGAGTATACAATATAAAGATGACGCGGTTCTCTTTCACACGAATAAAAGAAGGCATATTTTTGTGCTTTCTAAAAAATATATTTAAATTTGCAAGACTACCTAAAATCAATGCGTAAAATGCATGCTACTCAAGTAGTCTTTTTCACCAAGTACGGTTTCCACGGCAATTTGAAAAGCAGTGTATTCCAAAACTTTCATCCTGCCGAATCATAAATATTATAGGAGAATGCCGCAAGATAATTAGTATTACAGCCTTTCCTAAGTTATCCTTCCTAATCGAAAACGCATTACGAAATTTCAGCCAATATTCCATGAGATCAGTCACACACTGTAAATGGGTCATACCTATCGGAATGGAAATAGCAATTCACCAAAGTATTAATAAGAACGAATGACGGATTCCTCTAAGATGCCGTGTTAGGTCTACTTATGTTTAGTTTTGCATTAATTATATTCCATCCGCAGACAAACATGCTCAGTTTTTTACATAATGTGATGATTTCAAAAGCCGCCTGCCCCTTCAGCCTGGAGTCCAACGTAGTTAGCGGAATGGGCCCAATCAAAATGCCTCCATACGTGTATCGGACCTTAAAGGCTGCCTTAGTTAGGGATTTTTTACGTGACTCCCGTAAGTGAATGTCCCACCATTAAGCACTTTGGTTAAAGCTACGATAGCAAAACGGCGAAAAATACCGAAATTTGCGGCTTTATTTCTTACAACTTTTTCGTCTTTAAATTAACCTCAAACTTCGTTGTATCCTTATCCTTCCATTCTCAAATATTGCCGTCCATAGTGTGGTTTTACGAGCGAATTTTGTCCCTCAAAAATAAAAAAATGTCTAAAGATATTTATCAAAAAACTGTTACAGTACACACATCAAAATGTTCCTCAAATAAACAAATTCTGATTGTCTAACCCACTTTTTGTATGAGATCAGAGATTAGATGTTGTTTTCTGTAACTTTTTACGTTAATATTAGTACACATTTTCCTCTGATTTCAGCTGTCACACATATTAACCGTCTATATGACATTCGTAATTCCTCCTCGATTATCTCCCCCCCGCAATCTCTATTCTTCGCTCACAGTCGTACCTCCACTTGACATAACCTTCCAAGTTTCACTGGATTATAAAATAATTTTTCTCCTTTTAAGGGACCAGTGCGCCATTATAGAAATACTGACTCGACCAACTTTTCATATCTTTCGTCCTTCCTTAGCAATCATCCCCATGGCTTAGATAAAGGGTCATCGGAACCTCAGGTAATCTTCTCCATTCTTATTTGTCCGCCTACATTTTCGCCTCTGTGAGTGGCTTTGTCCCTTGTGATTTGTTTTCGTAAGTTTTGATTTTCTCGGACTAGGTGTCAAGGCCTTTACCGGGCTCGATGTTTTCCCCAATCAATCTCTAGGACACACGGTCAGGGTTCTTGTGGCGCACACATTCTAAATCCCCTTAGTTTCAGCCGCCGTTCAGCCTGATCAGTATCTCGTTCCGGACACTGTGATGCCGTCCTCCCACCCCACAGTCGGTCCCCTCTTAGGTCTGCCACAACCTACCATCCCTGCACACTGTAATGACGCTTTGCAATTTCTTGCTCACCTGTCTGTAGCATAGCACCCCATCCCCCAGATAAACCTCCATTACGCCTCCATTTCCATTACCGAAGCAGTTTTTCTTCTGAAGGTTTCACTTGAAATTATGGGTTCTATGAACTCCGCTCGCGCTTTGAATTCAAGAGTAATTTTCACCCTTTTACCTAAAACATCCAAATGAGATGTTGTGGATATTTCTGCCAAAAGTATCGTGTGCGAAAAGACAATCGCCGACTGCCGCCAGAATACTTTCCATTGTACAATTTGCTTCTCATGCAGAACTTAGATTCGACATTATTCTTCATATTTGGTCGCTTAAATCAGTGTTAATTGTACCTTGATATTGCATTATTATTTTCAATTACAAACTTCTGTCTTTTCATTCCGAAGTTATTTGAGTTTTCAGGGTGTGTGGGGTGCTGTAGGCGCGGATTTTAAATGTGCCGTCATACCAGGTTAATCGATGCTATTGGATGAAAAATATACAAGAGTACTCTGGCGAGTATATTTTACCGCACATACCCTGCCCACAGTTAGCATAGAAGATGATTTAGCCTAGGCGACACCAGCTAAGCCTGGTTGCGCCGGCACGACCATGATGTCAGAAGCTAACTTTTATAATTATAATAATAGTGTATTTTAGGGTAATAGGCAACGCCCTTGATGTCCTTATTGAAAACGATAATACAATATAAATGTTTAATGTACACCTTACTCAAACTTTGTCAGTAACATATTTGTTTACGGAAAACGTTTCTATTGTGCGGGACTGCGAAGGGTGCGGCAGGCGGTCTTCTCAGTGTACGTATGAGATTTTAAGTGCAGTTATATACAATTAGCATAAACTGCAGTCATTTGCATATTTTGAGAGGGGAAATTTCATTAAAAGTCAGGGATGTGTTAAGTAGGAATGAAATCAAGAAATGAAATTTATTGCTGGCCGCAGATAGTCCTGTTGTGAGAGTCGTCGTTTATCAAAGATCAAACGATGGAGCTGGCTTTTGAATACAGCCATTGTATCAGATGTCACTATTTCACTTGGGAGTGAGTTGCATGGTCGAACAACACGCTGGCTGAAGGAAAACTCCCGATTGTCTAGGCGTGTACGCTCCCGCTTCACTTTGTACGGGTGACCGCGCAGGTGACTCGTGGTCGTGAATTCAAAGAAGTCGTCAGTTCTGAGCGAACATTCGTGCCCGTGGATAATGCGGAATGTCCAAAACAGGTCACACCTCATTCGTGAATAGGAAAGGGGGAACGAATTTAACTGGATCAGTCTTTCTGTGAAGGACAGATTCCTGAGACCGTCCACCAGTTTTGTGGCCCGTCGTTACACCTGCTCTATGGCATCACTGTCTTTCTTCATCCAGGGAATCCATGATGGCATTCCGTATTCCAAGTGCGGTCTGACGAACGTGCCGAATATCTGTGATAAGAGTTCTGGAGGAAAAATTTTGATGGCACGTCTAATCCAGTGCATGATGCTGGTTGCCATTTGGACGAATCTTTTGCAGTGCTGAGAGGGCAGCAAGTTTGAGCATGTACAGACACCTAGGTCTTTGTGCGTGTCCACTTCTTTTATTTGAACCCCATTTATGGTATACTGATGTTTTGGGAAGCGCCTCCGTCCAGATTCTAGTCGTAAGAGTACACACTTGGATACGTTAAACGTTAGAAGCCACTTGCTGGACCGCACAGCCAGCTTATTAACATCTTCCTGTAGCTTCTGCGCGTATTCAACGCAGCTGATTATTTTCCAGATCTTTATATCATTTGCAAACATGACGCCATCGCATTCAAGATCTGCAGGACAGTCATTTATATAGATGAGGAAGAGGAGAGGACCCAGGACTGATCCCTGCGGAACGCCGCTTTTTACTAGCACCCATTCGGATGCAGTGGTACAAACGATCACTTTTTGGAGTCTGCATGACAGGAAACTTTTAATCCAATTAAAAGTGTTTCCCTGTATTTCACACTCCCAAATCTTCTGTAGGAGTCGTCCATGAGGAACATTATCAAACGCCTTCTTAAAGTCAAAGAGGATGACGTCCACTGGACGGCCCTGGTCTATGGCTCTTGTCCACTTTTCTTGAGAGTAAAGACTGCTTGTTAGGCAGGAGTGACCACGACGAAATCCGTGCTGAGCAGCAAATAACAGGTCCCTCTGCTCCACATACGACATTAAATGCCCTTTAATAAGTCGTTCCATTACCTTGCATTGAATGCAGGTTAAACTAATAGGACGGTAATTTTCGGGTTCCAGCCTGGATCCTCCTTTATAAATCGGAGAAATATGGGCCGTTTTCCATTCCTCCGGCAGTTCGCCTTCGTCCATGGACTTCCGAAATATCTTGGACACCGGCTTACAGAGTACATCAGCCAATTTGCGGAGGATAAGTGGATGAATTCCATCTGGACCAGGTGATTTGGCAGGTTTCAGCCGGCGCAGTTCGGTCCTTATCAACGTGGGTGAGAAGAAAGGATTGTCTTCCAATGCAGGACAGGAAGGATTTTGTCGTTGGTCTACGTAAGGCATGGCAGGAGGGTCTGTGTCATGAGTGAATACCGAATGAAATAAATTGGAGAAGGCTGATGCTTTCAGGTGGTCATCTGTCTCAATTACTCCGTTTTGGGATCTTAGCGCTGGAATCGGTTCACGATTGCTCTGTCAATTACGTATGTAACTATAGATGATTTTAGGATGCTCCAAGGAATTTTGTAATATGCACAGCTCATAGTTGCTTCGAAGTCTATGAGCCTCGCGTTTACACACATTCCGCTGTCACTTGTATTCCTTCAGATGTTCAGGACTGTCTGTTTGTCGATAACGTCTCCACACTTTATTTCTCCTCTTAAACGCGGTTTGAAGTTTCCGGTTTATCCACGGCGGACGGTTGCTTGTTTTGTTTCGTCTGAGTGCACAGTTTAGATTAACGATTCTTTTGACTAGTGAGCTGAACATACTCCAGTAGTCATTAACTGTTTCCTGCAGTGTGGTTGTCCACGGTATTGCTGAGACTTGCGTTTGCACGCTAGAAAAATCCCCTTTCCAAATATTTGTTTGTAATTGTTCAGGCGAATTAGGCTGGGAGAACATGGAATACTCGAAGAGCATCACAATATGATCACTAGCACCAATTGACGGAAGATCTTGTGTATCCAGCACACTCTCCTCATCTCGAGGGAGCACCAGGTCGAGGCAATTTGAACGTTGCCCTTCCCTAACACGTGTTCCGAGAGTTACATTCTGGAAAAGTAGCTTTTCTGCTGCCATTTCAAGCAAATGTTGTCCGAGTGTGTTCGATGGACCCGAAACCGTCTAAGCTTGTCAGTCGATATTGGGGACGCTAAAGTCCCCGACAATAAGGACGTCTCTGTTCGAGCAGGTCTTGTTCAGTTCCCTTAGGAGAAGGCTATTGTGTTCGGAAATCTAGCTTGGGGGACGATACACAACTGCAAACGCCAGCCGCCTGGCGTAATTAGTGGAGATAGTTAAAGATAAGAATTCCATTTCCGCCGTTGTTGTTGAATTATGCTCAGGGACCGCGGTTAGGTTTTAGCTAACATAGACAGCGACCCCTGCTCCTCGGCTTCTCCTGTGTCTTCTGAACAGTTGGTAGCCTCTGAGGGATACCCCATGATCTCCAATAGCTTCAGAAAGCCATGTTTCTATCAAGGCAATGATATCTGGCGTGTGCTCGTCGATCAGAGTCCTGAGTTTATCCATCTTGTTAAACCGGCACTGCACATTCGAATACAGCACCTATAGTGTCCGTCTTCTCGGGAGGAACTGGCCCTGATTACAAAGGGGGTTAGCCACAGGAACGATCGTTCGATCTGTATTATCTTGCCTTCCTTTAGTTTCAATCCCTTCTCCCCCTCTTCTGTCCTTCTTTTCAGTTCTGTCCACAGCTCCCTCATCTTGTGTCTTTCTGTCGGTTCGTAAACCGGCTGAAAAAACACTTTCTTATGCGAATGCCATCCTCCCTTCTAGGAGATGTGAGGCCTGGGCTTCATTTGCAATAATAATTGTAAGAGGCCTTGGTAATGCACGCGACGCATCTGCGCTTCCTAAACGGCAAGCTTTGTGCACGGTAACACATTCTCCGTCCTGAAGGACGGCATTTGAATATGTTTGAAAAAGCTTGAGGTCGTGTTCGATTCTTTCTTTTGCAGTCGAAGAATTGGACTCAGGAGCTCCCTTTATGACGATGTTTCGTTTTCGGTAGAGATGCCTATTTGGAACAGAGCCCATACGTTTATTTTTACACGCCCGTTCAGAATTTCGCCAATTTCCGTTGTCATCGTTTGACTCAGAGACAGCTGTGATGGCGTAGCTACCACAGGGTTCCTCACCTACCGATTCTTCTTGGTCGTGCGATACATCCTTCGGCAGTGTGGTATTTGCTGGCATTGTGTATGGACTCTGCTCTCTCATACGGACAGTCTGACTAGCTTTTTCTTTTAGGGATGCCCCGGGGACCTCAGATCGTCCAGTCGGCAGAAATCACGGGAAAAGCAAATCCGTCGGAGCTCGAAAATTTCAAACCGAATACGAAAGGCGCGTCTTTAAGTAGTATGCTAATAGTTTCCGCGAACTCATTGAAGGACGCTTCTGCTTCGTTCCGTCCCAACAACCAGTCCTAATTTGTAACTCCATGAAACCTCGCTCAGTGCGTCAGCCACGTCCCGGTAACCTCCCTTGACTGGCGGGTTAAATCGATTTAAGGCGTGTGTGTCTTCTCACCCCAATCCCTAATTTCGCTCCGCACCCCAAGCACGGATGTCCTACGGAGAGGGCCACATACGATCCCGCGTGTGGCTCAAGTTTCTCCGGGTCGTCTTTGCACTAAAGAAAAGTCGTGATCCCTGACAGACTTATGGATTCGCCTGGGTTGACTGAATAACCCATTTAGGGGATCAGTGCTTACTCTCTGACAGGAGGGACGGCTAGAAATGGTGCCTTGAAATGCTACTTTAGACCGCGCCGTCGGTAAGCTGAAGGTGGCTTTTAGAGGCAAAAGCAAAATAACAACAGGTAGAGGTCACCGTCCCCATTCTCGTCCCCGTCCTCACAGGCTGTTAGAGTGAGATTGCTCATTCTGACAGCCCGTAATGCTCGTTTCCTTTTAGCTAATCCAATGGCAAGCCGCCCGGAAGGAGTGACGCTCTGGTTGCCGCGAACCTAACTTCTACAATGTGAACCTCACTGTTCTCAGTGAGACTCGATTCTCCGAAGAGGGTTGGCTGGAGGAGGTGAATGCAGGTCACAACTCCTGGACCGACCATCTAAATACAGAGTAACTAGACGATGGCGTCGTCTTTGCCACTGGAATAGTGTCGTGGGGAAACTGTCTCATCTGTCACAGGACATCAACGACTGCCCCATAACTCTGCGCCTGCCTATTCTGGGAACCAGGTTTGTCACCGTCGTCAGGCTCTACGCCCTCTACTGACCAAATATCACGAGGTAAAGAACAGGTTTTATAGATAACTGGGGGCCCTCCTATCGAATTTGCCGAACTCACGCAAATCAATTGTTTTTGGCGACCCTAATGGCAGAGTCTACACAAACCATTCAGCCTAGGAGAGCCCGCAAATACAACGGCTTTCCCGTCATACAGCCCTGCGAGAAATACAATATTCCTCCTGGCCATTACCTTCCTTCGCCTTGTGACAGCGAAAAAGGCAACATCAGTAGTAGTTCAAGGACGATGACGAAGAAATTGGCAATCTGCTCCCTGAGAAGTATAGGTTACATAAGACTTGTGCCAGCCGCAAAACCAACGCAAGCGCGACGGAATTATTTCGAGCCTGTAATAACACTTACTGCGAGAGATCCGATGTGCATGTGTTGGTCGAACTGCTAAAGAAACACCAGGACATGCGGACCACAGCGGAATGAAGAATCTCTTCTCGTTAATCAAGAAAGTCTACGGCCCCAACGAAAAGGAAGCCCGCCGTTGCTCGCAAGTTCTAATGTGTTTGATGGAGCACCTCAGAAGCGCCCTTAATCGATCGTGTACGATCACCAAAGCTGCCGTCAACAGGCTCCCTCAATTGAAGTACAATGCCAGCCTCCCACCGTCGCCGCAATAGACCATTATGACCGTACATCAGACAGTTAGCGACAAAGTACCAGGGTCCGAGCCAATTTCATCTGGAATCCACAAGTGTGTCTGCCTTCAGACTAGACAAGCTGACTGTACTTTTTGAAGAGACAATCTGACAGGGACGAGTTCCACACTAATTCAAAGGCGTGATAATCGTCCATCCCTACAATGGAAAGGGGCGCTTAAAACTCCATGAAATGCGCAGGGCAGTTATCATTCTCAGTATCCCAAGTAAAACCTGCGTCCGCATGCTCCTCAACCAACTGGATAAAAAACGTCTCCCTGAGAGCCAATACGGATTCCGATGACACCGCGAAACCACCGACATGATCGTAGCCACCCGCCATATCTGCAAAAGTTCTGACTGAGTTCACAGACCATATGACCTTCCAGCTCTCCAAGATATTCAACAGTCCAATGAAGGCGGAGGCCGTACCTGCTGATTAGAGGCTTACCAACATAAGCCCCAAGCATAAAGGTGGGGAAGAACCTCACCAAAGAGTTCTAGATCAGTGAGTCTCACAAGCATCTGTTTTAAACTAATGGTGAAACCGGAACAAATGAGATATATTGAGGACAAAAATTGGTAACAATCGGAATATGGCACACAACAAATCCGTTATCTAGAAATAATAACTTTAACAGGGGAATCAAACGCCATCAAGCTATATCAGCGGTTGCAGGCCTGCTTTCACGCAATACTTACATTTTCCCTGACGGCCTAACATGGGCTGACCGAACGAATATCGCAGGAGGTTACATGGACGATGGTCGCTGTTACCTAACCTTCCCCATCCTTGCACACGTTCACCTGAATATACGGCATACATTAGCATTATGGCAGTTTATTACAAAACAACATCTCTTTTGAATTGGATAAGTCAGCACAATATGGGACAGGAACAGTTCCCAGGCATCTGTCAAAGACATGGCATTGAGGACAAACCAAAGAAGATACTGTACTTCGTCTATGTTAGCCCACGCCCACACAGCTCGACCACATACAGGACCTTCCTCGTGGAGTTTCCTTTTCAGTCTACTCCAGTATGCCTCAATGACATTGGTGTGCCGTCCGGTGTTAGGGTCCTTGAAGTGCTTTGAGTGGTTAACAGAGAAATGTAGATAACCTTCTGATGGAAGACGATTATACACCATCCACTCGTCCGTTACCTCTATATTGCCTTTGGCGACCCATGTTTTAATAACGGAACGGTGACCGGCCCTACTTCGATCATTCGCCTGTTCAAATAAGGCTTTCTGTAGGCTAGTATCGTACATCCCGACCAGCCACCACACATAAAACCCATAATATCACCTGCACCGTAAGACAGGCTGCTTTGGTTAGGCGGATTTTTTGGGTGCCATCTCCCGATTGTTACCCAAAAATTTGCCCAGTACGTATCAACACGGATTTAGAATCGGATCAATCTTGTCTCAACAACCTGCTCACATCAATAGAATGCTGGATGAAATCTTTAGAAATGTGTTTTCCAGTTGATGCGGTACATATTGACTTCAGCAAAGTCTTTGATGGGGTTCTACACTGACGGCTGATATCTGAACTGTGTCAAACTGGTGTGGCTAGCAACCTACTCAAAAGGACGCCGACATTTTCACAGGCAGACGTCAGTGGATTTGTATTGATGACGCCAAATCCGAGTGGGAAACCGTTCACAGCACGGTTCCGCATGGGAGCGTCCTGGGTCCCATTTTGTTTTTGATATGTTTGAACGATTAGATCGCAGTTGGCAGCCAGGAATGGGGAGGCGGACAGCATGATTCCTGTCGCACGGGAATGATGGAAAGGGGGTTATATGGGTGGGGTAAATGGAAGGGCTGGTGGAGGAACGCTGGAGTTTCTGGGTAAAATTAAACTTACCAGGGCAAGTGCTGGGAAGTTTTAAGTAAGTGGAATAATGGCCGAAATTTGAACCCTAACATTAACCCTAACATCCAACCCTGACCACAACTGTAAACCATAATCCTAAACCTCAAAACTGAAAATTAAACGAAATCCTTAAACCCAACGCCAACCAAAAACCTAGCCATAAGCCTAAACTTAACCTTGACCCTAACCTTAACTCTAACACTAAATTTAACCCTAACCCTAACCTCAAGCCCCAACCTAACCCTAACCCTAACCATAAGCCTAACCCTAACCTTAAACCTTACCCTTACCTTCAGCCTTACCCTAACTTTAACCCTGACCTTAACCTTAACCTTAACTTTAACAGGAACCCTCACGAGAACCTAAATCCTAACCCTAACACTGAAACCTGACCCTTAAACGCAAACCCTAATACTAAAGCTTTAATTACGCCTAACCCTTACCCTCACTAAACCCAACAGCCTGACCAAAACGGGCGACCTGCCTAACTCAGTAAGAGCACGCCTACTGATAACAAGTACGTACGTCGACAGTATCAACGTATAATGTCTGGCTACCAACTGCGATCTTACCGTTTGAACGACCCGCGGGAAGTAACGTTCGCTAGCGATCAGAGGAAATGAAATTCGATAAAAAGATCAGAAGATACGCCGAACTTGCAAAGATACTTGGACGCATTTCAGCAGTGGTGTGATGGGTGGCTCCCTAACCTCAATTTCAACAAATGTCAAATCATTCGACCACGGCCTCGTTACAGAAACATGATGAGATTTGAATAACAGTGTTTCATCGGAGGTCATCAATCCGAGCCAGCAAATGAGTTAAGGTGCCCAGGTCTGTGGATGACGTCCGCTCTCAAGCTTTCGATTTATTGCGCCAAGATAGCAAAGAAGGCTATGTGTACCCTGAAACAGCTTAGAAGATGCCTCCTCAACTTTGACGGAGAGCTTCTTTATTCGAGGACTCGGAACATTTATCCGACTGATGTTTAAATGCTGCGTGCAGGCGTGGCGCCATTGGATGAGACATGGCTAAACACTTACGAAAAATGTCTAGCAGAGGGCGACCAAATTATTGAGCTAAGTGATGTACCTGCCTTATGAGGGACGACAAGTAAAGCATAGAATTTTCCTCTGTTCTCCATAACACCTCCAGTTTTTAAAAGTCTGACCTCTTACCTCTACTCCCTCGTGCCTAACGCCAGTTTCTTCGGTGACTGCGCTGTTCTGTGGCATTTAAGAACGGCGGGTGGTGTCGGTCGGTGGAGTCGGAATGCCAAAATTATCACACAGCAGATCGAGTGCCTCTTGGCCGTCTGTGGTAAATTTATGTCTGAGCTGGTTCGTACGCTTTTTGATTTTTTTAGCTGCTGTCAGTACACCGACCACAATGACTCTGGAATTCCGTATTATGCCCTCAACCCAAGCCTTATCTCTGTCTTTGTCATTGCAAGCAAACATCTCATCTCTTTCCCGAAAGTGGTGTTGTGTAGTTTGGGAACCTCAGAATTCTGGTTTTAGGTAATTCGGTCGTACATCCAAAAACACTCAACGGGTGTTTAGACGCCAAGATTGCTTTCCGGATTTACGATACAGACAGAAAGTAACGTGTTGAGGTAGTTCATTTTAGTGCCTGCGCTACACATCTCATTAGGTACCTTCATGAAGGCATCAACGAGACGCTTTGCTCGGGCGTTAACTTAGGGATGAAGTGGGACGACGTCAGATATCGATCCCCTATCTCTGGCACAACTGCTGTAATAATGTCAACTTGGTGCTGTTATCCGTCGCAAGCTCCGTGAGGATGCCATATCTTAAAATTAGTCCTTCGCTTTCCTGGCTTCGATATCCGCGCTGGCTGCCACTACATCGGAGACTTCCAGCCACTTCGACCATGTGCCGACAACTATAAGAGGCCTTCCCTTGAAGAATCGTCCAGCAAGCACGGGCGATATTTTTTGTGAGTTCTTGAGCTTACACCCATATGGGATGCAGTTTCAAATGAAAGATCTCAAGGTGCCATCCACTTCCGCCAACATACACACCTTGGGACCAGTTGTTTCATGCGGGTCGTGCCCTGATGTCCTGTATGCAGATCCCGCAAAATTTGTTGTGAATATTTGCTTGAAATCATCACCCTGCCATCATACAGTCTCCCGTAATATACAAACGTTCTTTCTTTTTTCTGATGCGTTTTACAGATGCGTGTACTTTATCTTTGCCAGGGCATCCATTATAAATTATTTCCTTTACCTGGCGCAATAATAAGTCTGCTGTAGTGGTGTCCCGATGTGCTCGGCTGGGAGTGGCAACCGTCGTCGTCACCTTATGTCTGCGTGCTTGCGATCACCACGCCTTCTTGATTTGCGTCGCTCGCGCTCAGTCAGGATAAGGCGTCCGGAGCTGCGAACTTCTGATTGGGGATATACTGGCTTGTGAAGTCGCAGCTTAGGAGGATAGTATTCCGTCGTTGTATCCTCTCCTCGTTTTGGATTACATTCAATTTCAGATCGGCCTTTAAATGTTGCTTACTACTTCATGATTTTCAATATTTTCACTCGATCGTCTATAAAAACAGATTCCGAATTACCTGTCTGTTAATAACTTTGAAGTAAGATTATTCTTGACGGCACTTACCGAATTAGTGAGCGTTCCGGCGCGCCTTTTCACGAAGATGGTCTTTTGGGTCACATTTTAAGACTCATTCAAACATCACACTTCATTTTCGAGAAAAATGGCTGTCCACAACGAAAGTCAGCAACGCATATGCCTTTGATTAATAAGAAAACTTTCCCTTCAAAGTTACCTCTTTAAGAAGTGCTTTATTACTGCATTTTGTTGGCCGATCTCTGTGTGCTTTGCACATTTGTCCGGTGAGGCCATTTAAAAAGTTGACACTTTTGACTGCTTTTTTCACGTCCCTAAACAATACTAATATTTTTCCGCCGTAGACGTAAGAACATACCTTTTTCTATACCTTGGGTTTTGTTGTTTTGCATGCCAATTTAACGATATTTCTTTTGAATTCCGTGCATCGATTTAAAATAAGCCCAACGTTAACAACGAAAGCTACTTGCACTTTTATACGATAAACATTCGGTCCAGTTCGTGTAGTTCAAACAAAATTATTGGAATTTGTATGGTAATTGAAGTCGGGTCATCGGTAGGCTTAACGCTACTTGTAGCTCCCGCCAACAATATTGGCCTGCATATGAAAATTTTATTTTGTAGCTCAGCATTGCTTAGCATGAAACGTAATATTTCTATGTACTATGTTCGGCACTGAGGATACATGTCAGTCCTTCAACCAAGGCAATACTTGACGAGCTCAAAGGATACAAACTAGAATACCGTAGTAAGGAAACTCTGAAGGGTCGAGGCGACGTGGACACGTATTGGCGAGAGGGCAAAAGGGCCCCTTGAAAGTGACGGGTTAGTATTGCCGAATTTTCGTTGACAAACGACTAAGGAACTGGCAATTGTAAATTACTAGAGAAAGCACGAACTGTAGGAGAAAAATAGGAAATCGGTGATGGCATAATAAGATGTACAACAGAAAAATTACGGTGAAAATTCGAATTGGCTCGCTGGAAACAAATATTAAAAAGGGAACTTTGAAATATATGTTCCAGAATAACGATAATTGTAACGTCGAACGTGACGCGATCCAACAACGGCTTACTCACGATTTTCCCCCATGCACTGTGACTTTTCCGTGTCAGACCGACTTCACGTGGGATTGGACTCATTTGTTTGCGTAATTTAAGTCCTTTCTAGCGTAGGACATAAGAGTTCTACAACAACAATGCCCAATATACAGATAACTAGTATCGTGAAGATAGGAGGTTAGCATGCTAGTGCAAATCCGCAATTCAACACAGTTTTTTACCTTTTAACTTCTGATATATATATAACTATATATGTACATTGAAAGGGAGAGAGGAAGCTAATTTATTGGCTAGGGAAGGCCATGCTGGCTTCACCCCTTAGTAGTACAGTTAATAGTACACATTTGGTGTGGAATATATAGACAAACCCAACGGACGACGTCGTGTATAGGTATTTTTGCCGGTAAGGCTAACGCCAAATCAAACTCAAGCCTGCTTTGACCCTATAAATAGAAAACGATTGGCCCAAGAAACCAGGATAACCGCAATCATTATCGAAATATCGCGTGAATTTTACCTGCCTAAAATAGAGCTTGGTCGGTCTTAACGGTTTGGTTGAAAAGTGGAGCCCATAGTTATCCTGTCAAATAGTTAAATAAAAAACGACGTAAAAAGCTACCCTGAAAGGTTTTTATGTGAGGTAAATTCAGCAGGTGAGCTGCATCAAATGGATAATGCTGCCCGCATATGCATAAGTGTCTGGTAGAGAAACCGACATACGGGGAGGACAGAAAAACAATGGATGTTGATGGAAATGTCGTAACGGTCTAAATCGCGAGCTTGATTCTGAGGAGGTAAAGGGAATATTTGGAAATCAACGTTAACTAACCAGTTCTAGCCAAGGAGGATAGTATTCGTTTTCCTACAGCAAGGAGACGATCTGATTGTCATGATGCCTCGTCTCTGGCATAAGTGGTTTTCAATGCTGCCCATCGCTATGGTTGCTAAGCAAAATTTGTGGAGGTAAAAGTCATTTGAGGGAGTGCAGTACATAATCTTACTTTCAATTATCAGTTGTACTACATTTATTAAATACTCGTGACATCTGTTGGGTTTAGTTAGATATCTTTTCGTATCGCATTATGCACTGATTGGATGTTTAGTGGACCGCTGGAGTGTGCTTACCTGCTGAACTATGTATTCAAAAATCACAACGGTAGCAGGACACCTATCTGTAAGGGGGGGGAGTGGTAACCAGGTACAAAGAAGGCCAACCTGGCGGGTATACTCTAAGGCAGTCCGCCAAGGTAGGATGTGATGGTGTTTCTTAGAATGCTACATTTTCACTCAAACCTGGCCGTCTGACAGATCGCGTTGCTGTCTCAAAATCGAACTACACTCTCCCCCACCCACCTTATTAAGTTTCTTTGTTGGTTACTTGTACCTAAAATTTTTAATTATAGACACCAGTATATTTTGGACTTGCTACGGAAGATAAGCCTGTCCGCAGGAGGTCCCGCCACGAACGAGATGGGGGAGCAGAACTAGTTCCTGAATGCTTCTTAACGGCCTTCGTTGGACACGGTGGGACGGGCAAGTCTGGACTTCACTACCTTCTTCCTGTCTGGTTTAAAAGTACCACAAACGTCTCGCCGCAATGGCAGTTTCAAATTAAGTGGAGCAGATCCGAGAAGGAGTTGGAAACGTAAATCTCAGGAAGATCTCGACGGAGGATTAAATGAAAAATACAGACCACGTAAACATCAATGAAATCAAACTCATATGTTTCCATCCCCGACATAACATTGATAGACTGCTATGACTGCTAGGTCTCGCCACAAGGGCAGTTTCAAATTAAGTGGAGCAGATCCGAGAAGAGGTCGAAAGCCTTAGTCCCCCGACAGTAATCAGAGCAAATCAAACGAAAATTACAGACCTCGTAAACATCACTGAAAACAAATCCATCTGTTTCAGTTCCTAGATCATCGTTTTCGGACTTCACTGTTCTTAAAGAATTTGCTTTTTCGAACCCTGTCCTTGCCTGAACATGTCATATTGCTTAAAGCGAGAGAAAAAAAAGAAAACCTGGCATCAAAACTTTAGACGTTTTATGCATGCAACTCTGTTTATAATCAAGTTTCTGTAGCCAAAATATCTGGATAGTGAGAGTTGTACTAAAATGAGGAGAGCTATTGATGTATAGGAGAAAACAATGAAGGTGTCGGAAAGTTAGTGTAAGCGTCGATGGCGAGAAATTGACCGTTGGGTTTGTAGGCGGACACATCTCGTCAGTGGATAAACAGACATAACGTTGATCGACTACTATGACTTCGAGGTCGAGCATGATATTCATGTGCGTGAAACATATAGAGGGTTAGGACAACCTGTTAGCCACTTCACTCTGTGTTCCGTCGAAATTTTGGATGCCTTATCTGACGTAGTCCAAGTGCTGGACAAAGCAGGCGTCAGCCATGTCAGTGGAGGACAACATTACAAAGCTAAGGGGTTTGTACTGTCTGAAAATAATGAAGTCCCCGTACTCGAGGAAGCTCCGGAGATGCTTAAAGGTGATCTACAAGTTGAGCACTTTACATCCAAAAGTGCGGTACAAAATCTTATTAGGAAAGAGCTTTCTGGAGACGGTGCAGTTAAGAAGTTAGCGGAACCTGCGAGATGCTGAGGTAATACTGCCCATCAGAAATTTTTATGACATCGACATGGCGGAAGAAGGGTGAGTCGGGTGGTACCTGAGTAGGCTGGCGACTAATCCACGGCCTGTTTAACGCCCTTAAACGGAGGGAGGACGCATAATAAGATTGCCCACTGTGCTGGTGGTTGGAAGCAGTGCTTGTGATGTGACCACGTGCACACAAAAGCCCAGGGATTGTATGCTAAAGTTATAATACCAAGTTACAACATATGTTAATACTCTAGCTTGACGGCAGTCATACGCGCAAGTACGAGATAGTGGAAGGAGAAAAGCCTGGAAGACCTCTGGTTTGGATGCACTGAACCACATCGCAATGTTGGACAATTGCGTTGAAGGTGGGAAGCGTGATTCCGAGATAGATGGGAAAGCGCAGCCGAAATGGTCACAGTGGAATGGAAATCCTCGACAGCTGGCCGACTTTGGCTCCAAAAAGAAGAAAGTCTGTCGATGAATAGGGTCCTTCTTTAATCACGAAGGCGATATTGCTGACAGTCGATGACGAGTCTGGAAGCAAGAAGTTTCGTCACCATAAAGATCCGTGAAAATAGACATCGCAATCTCATTTCCGGATACAGAGGCGGTATCCGCAATGATGGGAGAGTGTGTTGAAACCGGAAAGCGTGGTACCGAGAAAAATGGGATGGAGCGACCGAAATGGTCACGCTGGATTGGGGATATACGACTTCAGACTCCAGTGAAAACAATGTCAACGAGGTAAAGGGTGCCACTTCAGTCACGAAGACGAGATCATTAGCAGCCGACGAGAAGATCGAAGGCGGGAAGTTCAGTCAGCATAGAGATGCGTGAAAATAGACGTCGTAGTCTCATCCCCAGAGACAGCTTGCAGGAAACGTAGTTGATTGCGAGGATAGGATCACAGGCCTGTACAATAAATTCTCATACAAGTTTGGCTTCGATTGAATGAAAGGTCAGCCAAGAATAAGTGTCGGCAGGTTGATTTATATAATTTACATCCGATATATTGTCATCCACTCCCATGTTCTCATCAGAAACGCTCAACTCTTACTGCCTGGTGCATTGCATTTGCTGAAAGCCAGCGCACTCTGTCTGCTATGACTGTCCTTCTGTCTTATGCACAGAATAAAGCACTTGCTACCGTCTCAATCCTCAAGTAACTGGCGAATCTTCTTCTGGAGGTCGTGCATATTGCGGAAAGCACACCAAATTAACAAACAAAACATTTAATTAGACGTCAGATTCGATCAGAGAAGGTAGTTCAGACATGCTGTTTCAGACATTATGGTGACGACCAATGTCAGAAGTATTGGCCGCTTTGGTGTTCTGAATGGCACTCGTTCTCGGAGAGTCCGGTTAGCAACGTGAATTGGACGCTGATTGTGTTGGGGTATACTGAAGAAGGCAGCTCTGGCTAACCGAAAAGTGGTCTGGACGATAAGCAGAAATTTCATAGATTTAAAATAAGCACCCTTACCGTTTGCGGGAAGTTGCAGGTTTTATGGACATGATGACTGACAGTTCCAAGGCTTCCCTTTTGCCGGCCAAGTGGATGGACCTTATTGGAAAGTTTGATAAGACACTGAAATGCGACCTTACACATAATTCAAGGAAGGGTAAATACTCTCTTCACCTAGCCCTAATATTAACCAAAACCTTCCATGGCGCTAAACTCAACCTTAAGCGTTAACTTAACCTTACATCAATCCTAAAATTATACTAGCCTTTAACACACTGAAAAGTTGCGCTAGGGCCAACAATAAGAGAGTTCTTATTTTCATGACTGTGCAAGGACTTAGTATGTAGGACAACCGTCAACAGCAGTCAGGCATGACCTCCAGAAGTACAATAAAACAAGAAAATGGCGACAGGAAAGACCAGAATCCAAAAGCGACGATGCGATACTCACCCGAACAGTAGTCGCGGGCATAAAATGAAATCGATAGTGCATCGGCGAGAGAATAACAATGGATTCATGGTGGAGGAAGCTGCCCCCACTAATCCCCATACTGATGGAGCTGAAGCCCGCGGAAGGGAAATCCCTATATCTTCAATATAACTTAGTAAACAGAGTCCATTGGACGGAAATACTGTAGATCGACTGCAGTATATAATTGTCTTTGGACTTCGCAAATTAACCAGCAGTAATTCTAGCTGTAGAATAGATGATTACATCGCGACCTTGCAAGAGTGTCTGCGTGAAAAATAAACGAGAATGGAGAAATTAAGATTTTGAAACTTTTCCAAAACAGTAAATACAACGTAAACTTTCAAAGAAAGAAATAGAGGACTTTAAAGGTGTTTTTGGAAAACGAAATTCAAAGGGATCTTTCGGAACGAACGGCAAGGAGAATCCCCGGCCGTAGTGGTGTTTTTCAACCGGACTGCTCTACGCAGGCAGGGATGAAGTGGAGGGCACTAAAGGCGGAATTGATGACCATGAAAGAACAAGGACAGAAGGGTCGGGTGGTAGCGAGTAAGTGGTTGTTAGACAACAAAACCCTTTCTGTGGAGGACATCCGTTATTCTGACGAAAGTTACTCGACCAGCAACTAAGTTAAAATAAAGATGTGCACAGAATTAAGTTCTACTATGGGAATATACAAAGCCTCTTGAATAAACTCGATGAACTAGAAATCATTGTGGCAGATATACCTACTGGTGTTATCACATTAACTGAAACGGGGCTCAACCAAGATGTCAAAGACTGCAAAATAATAATAGATGTTTATCAAGTCCTAAGATGAGACTTAATTAAAAGAAAGGGTAATGGAGTTGCTCTATATATCAGTAGTGTGGTCAAAATACAAAGCCGCCGAGGAATGTGCAACTCATCATAATTTTGAAATACAGTAATGTCTTCTTATGTTTCCTAGATCCGAAAATGTTACTGTCACTGTTCTATTTCGGCCTCCAAACCAATCTGTAGTAAAAGACCAGCCTTTAATCACTCGGCCACGTGCGGATAGTCAGGAAGCAGAACCATATAATTGCAGGAGATTTCATAACTCCACTTGTAAATCGGGACCTCATGACAGGTAAGGGCCATGGTCCAAGATTCGACCAAATGCTACTGAACACGGCACTTACTGAATTCCTCTTCCAACATGTCCGAGCAACTACAAAAATGCTTAAACGCCGGAGATCTAGTTGTCTGGATCAATGGTGACGAAGGTGTCGGTGAATCAGTTGTAGGTCCGTCCTTACGTTCTTGTGATGACACGATGTTAACGTGGAAATCGACGCTTGTAATGAAGCTCAAAGTCGCCAAGAATAATCTGGTGAGGTAACTGAGGGAATTGAAGGCGATGATCAGACGCTCACTGCGGACGGAAAAGGTACGAGGAGATGTCCATAGATGTTCGCGAACCTTTGAATTAATTATGAAAGACTTGGTTTGGTTGTATTGTCTCCTCAATATACAGTTAACCAGCAGCACAACGAAGTGGTCAACGACCGCGGTTAAGAAGGAGATTCAAAAGAAACGAAAATTGTGGAAAATTTTCCTGCGAAAAGAGAGTCGAGTAAAATTTAACGACTTCAGATGTCAACGCAATTTATGCGAAAGACCTCCATGAACACGCGCATCTTGCGAATTGAAGCTCTCGGGAGAGGCACTGCAAAAACGCAAAGCATTCTATGCTTGCATCAGTAATATGTACTACCGAGAATCGTGGCTAACTGGGAACCTTACAAAAACAAAGACGACCAGATTGCGAACAATAGTCATCAAAATCCGAGCTTCTCTCTGATTTTTTACAAAGTGTTTATACGACAGAACCCCCCTCGCTCTGCAGCCCACATCTCTACCGCAGTTTCTCACCAGCCCACTTATAAGCGCACTTTTATTTTCGCCGCACTT